AATATAGATCCTGATTCACTGCATCATCTGTCGTGTTGGTCATGGTAAGTACACATTCGATAATTTTCATTCAGTGATGTCATTATCGAAAACCTGTACAAACATGGAATATCGATATATCTGATGTAATTTATTACCATGACGTAGCATATGCCCAGTGTTTTGTGCTCGGTCACATTATACATATTGTATTCCCTTTTACTTTTTGATAAATATTACATGTTGTCATGTGTTTTGTGATAAGAATGTCCGAAAATAGTATGCTTAGTACTTATACTGTTTGCATTCAGCTGGTCAATACATCGTCATTTGAATATTATTTTCTTAACAAAATGCTTAAAAATGTAGCGGACCGATGATTATATTGCAGTATGGCATGGTGTACACCACAAGAGAATAATTTTAAAGGCATTCTATCTTTTCCCTCAGAAAAACGCTTATAAAATCTGAAATATTTCAAAATTCATTGAACAAAAATATTTTACTGTCAATATAAGCCAGAATTGAACAATAACATTGGTGTATTCTGTTTGCCTGAAGTGTTTGTATGCAGTTAGTTTTGGCGTAAAACACTGAACATACAATTTACTAGATTTCGAATTCACAGCAAGAATGAAACCTTGATGATTATGTTTTGTTTTATAGAATAGAAAAACAAAGGATATGGGGTATACATCCGCAACAAAAAAAACCAATACACGCACAGCAAAAAAACACATAAAAAGCAAAGAAACAGCGCTTTTATTGCTGTTCTTCATCTTAAAGTCACAGTGAGTCTTCAACACGGTGCAAAAAAAAAAAAAAACAAACAACAAAAAACAACAAAAGCTCTCACCTCACTGCAAGTTTAGGACGCCCCCTAGCACCGTTTTGACCACTTTAATAATTAAGCATAATTTGAAAAATAATTGAGTTCACTTAAGACCAAATAACAGTTTATATATTTGGTCATCTTTCAAAAGTCCCAGCTTTGATTCGATTAATTTTTTTAAAGATCAGTAACATGTGGGGCTAAGTACCATGAGTTAATCGTTACTATGAACATTAAGAGAAAACATAATAAAAAGGCATCAATAAACAAATATTTATATTAGGGAAATGATGCAAAGACGCTGGATGCTACATAATAATTTGATACTATCATTATACTTATTATTATCATTTAATCTCAAATGTTTGTTTTGTTGTAGAAATCCAAATTTTAGACATGACAGCTGTGATGATTGGGATCAGTACCGTACCAATAACAGGAAGTATCTGGTTATTGACAGTGATTGTCCACAAGATGGTGGAAAACTCCTGGAATCTCAGTGTGCTTTCCTTTAAAATGTACTTAGTTAATATAAAAGATTGACAAATTGTTAAAAATTTATAATTGTATTATTTTACAAACAATTTTTAATGAAAAGTAGAAACTGCACTACCTTTTTTTAACTATGTTAATGGACGCAGTAGATAAAACAAAAAATAAAATTAAAGTGTGTTATGTAAAAATGCTTTTTATTGACAGGTGGAGTATGTGCTGTGTATTTTAAAGGACACCGATTATGCATGTTGCTCTAACATGGTATGTTAAATACACACTGTTTAAAAAATAATAAGACTGATAACTAAGAATACAGATTTACTAATGTCAACAACTTTGGAAATAACCAGCCATTTTTAAAACTTAACTATGCAAAATATGCCTGAATTTACCAGATTATACCCATATCTAAACACCATTATCATATATTTTTAAATTTGGAAAACATGACAAAACAACATAAACGTCTAACGAATACAACTTATCGCTATTTATTCCATTCCGGATAAGTTCTGAAATCTCACTGGTGCCCTGTTTAAGGTGACACGGTAGTATTTCCTGGCCCATAGGGATAATGATAGCCTTTTTTTTTGAATTTTTACCACTTTCTAATACTGCCCAAAATTCTACATACAAAGTACTCTGAAGTACTTTCATAATAATATTCAGAAATGAATTTGAATATGTATCATGACCGTTTACTTTTTTTGCTATCTTTGTAAACCTAAGGTCACTAGTGTTTTTAGGTCTTTTATCATGCATGCAGTGAATACAAAATTTGAAAAAATTCTCAAAAATTCATTTTCACCTGTATGTAAAATTATTTCACATTTTTCTACACCCGATTCATCCCTCAGTTTGAGAAAGTATGTTCAGTAGATACTGTATTGTTTGTCCAATCACACTGTTCAGATACATTGACTTAAGTAGGGTACACAAAAGAGCAACCTAAATTCCAGAATGTAAATACTACCGTGCCACCTTAAACATTGTACTGTGCATAAAACTTTTCAAAGAAGTATGTTTAAACAATCGTAAACACTTCATACGAGGCATTTTTCTTGCTTTAATGTGTGTTTTGATTATTGGATCATAAACAATACAAATATCAAAATTCACTTTCTGCACGTTTTCCTTCCTCAGCTCATTACTGATGACCTTTGTTCTTGTGTCACTTGAACTGAAATTCGTCACCAACTGGAAACATGACGAAATAATACGTCAGATAATCGTTGATTGTATAACGATTAGTTACATAGCACATACGAACTTCGTAAATTGTAAAACGATTAGTTACAGAACAAATACTAATTTCTTTAATTATAACGATAAGTTACAGAACACATATGAACTCCGTTAATTGTATAACGACAAATAACAGAGCACATACGAACTTCTTTTATTGTATAACGATTAATTACAGAACACATACGAACTTCGTTAATTGTATAACGATTAGTTACAGAACACATACGAACTTCGTCGATTGTATAACGATTAGTACAGAACATCGTTAATTGTATAACGATAAGTTACAGAACACATACGAACATCGTTTATTGTATAACGATTAGTGACAGAACACATTCGAACTTCGTTGTGATTGACACAGCTTGTTTAATTTATGAAAGTTTCATTAAGCCAAATCTGGGAGAAAATATAACGTTAATTCTTCATTTAAAAATGAAGAATAAAAAAAGTAATATAAATAGTGTTGATTAATCTATTTTTTTTGAATATGGAAGCTGGGTCAATAATAATTATCTTTACGAATCATTATATTGTCGGAAGGAAGTTGGATATGTTTTTGTAAAGATACATCTTGTAATCTAGTTAGTATACTCTTGTTGTCCAAAAATAAGACACATGTTTGCTGATGTGTATATTGTGGGATTTGGCTTCATCCCAAATTGGTAACGAAGACGACACGAGTATTACATTTACTTATAAATTTCTTTAAGTCTCAATGGTATGCATTTTTACAAAAAAAAATAGTACAGGATTGATAACTGTAAACATAAGGAGATGTGGCTATGATTGCCAAAATGTAAAAATAAGGACTTTTGGTTATGATTGTCTAAGCTTGGTTTACATATGATTTTGGACAAAAAAAATGCAAATTCCATAGACGTGTCCGCCATTGCAAGTTACAATTTAAGTTTAATTGCAAATGAACACTTTTAGAGAAACAAATACCTTATTATTTTGGAAAATATATCAAACTTATAACGAATTTTTAAAAAGCTGATTAAGCCGTGCACAGAGTGGTTCTGTATAAAATGCTACTAAAGTTTAGATGATATTGCATATGTTAGACAATAAATGATGGTATTTTGATAAGCAAATTACTTTGTTATCTACCATGAAAAAGGACAGGCGGTCTTTTTTTTTTATTAAAAATATTTATAGAATAATGTAGCCCAGGTTGAAGACCTACATAACCTACTGCACGACTCGAAGGTACCTAAATACTAATAAAATTACAAAAGGTTCTAAATTTTGGTTAATGCAATTTTTTCAATGTTTCAAAACTGATAAATGTTTTCTGAATATGAATAATTAAATGTCTTTTATAAATACCAAAATTTATTAAGATTAGCTAATTTGTAATGATGTAGCATTATATATGAAATATTTATCAATAAATATGAAATTTGTAGTAAAACACTGAGTGGAGACTACCAGGACTGACAAAAAGTATGACAAGTTGTTAGATAAAATTTAGTCCTAATTGATAGTCATGATAGTTTAAAGGTAAATTAAAAAAGGGGAAGTCCATAAAACTGATAAAATCAAACGTTATCAATCAGCGGAACTAGTGGAAACATCTGTCTAATTTATAAATATGTGAATATATGAATAATTTTGTCAATTTTAAAATACAAATACTAATAAATCCAACCAATTATAGTATTGATACCAATGATTCTTTTAATAACATCTTTAACATGTGTCATCATCAACCTTCTTATGCCACATAAAATTATACTTTAATTGTAGCACTCTTGTTGTAGTACGTGCCAATACTGAGATTTGCTATTTCGCGACATACAATATATATGGAGTTGGTAACCCTATCTCGACAAGAAAACTGAAATAAATTTGGAAATTCATATCAAGAGGGGACGGACAAGGAGGTCCCTGATTCCAACTTCCCTACTCCTAATTCCCACTTCCCTACCCCGTTACTCCCAATTCCCTCTATCTACTCCCACTTCCCCCTTAATTCCTTATCATCAAAACAATATTTCCCAGACTATCCATATTTTTACTCTTGCGCTTCCCCCGGTTCCCGCTCCTCATTCCCATGTTCCCTTACCTCTGTTTAAATATTCACTGTGTTCTGCTTGTGAGGATGATAGTAATTCGCATGAATTATTAATGTCAATGATCATTTATTAGGATATTGAGAAATACACAAAAATCACTTTTAAAGATATTATACAAGTTTTAGTAGCATGTTATGAAATAGTTATTGATATCAATAATTCATTCATAAGCATGTTAGCAATTATTTATTGAAATTTAAAATAGTAATTTGCACTTTACTGACAGATTGCCGTATGAACATTTAAAGCTAATGATAAACAATCAATCTTTTGTTTATACATTCAATACAACGCGATTCTATAATTATTGTAAATTAATCAAATTATGTCAAAATATATGTCAGGAAGGAAATGGTTATATGTATTCAAACATTTTCCGCTTGTTTTGAACCGAGTCAACATAACTGTGACAGTCTCCTTCCAATTGACATCGTTTTCGTCTGAATATGATTCTGAGTATTGAAAGAATGATTAGTGTGTGTCTTGTTCTATCAATGTGTCTAACAACACATTGCATCTCATTCAAAACTAGAATAAGGACTAAAACTGGATATATTCAAGGATTTAATCAAACTGTCCTTGATAGAGAAATTGCAACATATTTAGGAATACCGTACGCTAAACCTCCTGTTGGGTCTCTAAGGTTCAGAGAACCGATACCAGTAAGACGTTGGCAGGGTACAAGAGAAGGCACAAGTTTTGCTAAAGCCTGTTCTCAGCCTGCTATCTATGCTACTGCGGTTCCAGCTGAAGACCAAAGTGAAGATTGCTTGTACCTGAATGCATGGGTTCCGAAGGGAGGTTGTAAACGGAAAGCTGCTATGATATGGATATACGGAGGAGGGTTAATCGCAGGCGATGTTCGGGATTATAATGGGAAGTTTCTCGCTGCACATACGGACACTATTGTTTTTACTATGAACTACAGGACCGGACCATTGGGTTTCTTGTATTTAGATGATAACGAGGCGCCAGGGAATATGGGTCTACTTGACCAATATCTAGCCATAAAGTGGATTTATGACAACATCAAAACGTTTGGAGGAAGTAGACGGAAAATAACTTTATTTGGACAAAGTGCCGGGGCTGCAAGTATAAATTACCATATCCTTTCTAGCTTTTCACGACCTTATTTTCAAAAGGCTATCATGATGAGTGGAGCAGCGAACTCAGATTACGGATACCATTCACCTACAGAAGCACTTACCACGGCCTATGAATTTGCCAATCATCTCGGATGCAAGAAGGACACTGTAGGCAAAACAATTGAATGTTTACGCTTATTACCACCTTCTGAGTTATCAGCATTACAGTTACCATCTAACCCTAAAGCTCCATTGTTTTTCAGGGTACATTTTCCAACCATTGATAAAAATGGATTTATTACGCAGTCACCTAAAGAACTGTCGGATCGTCCATTCTCCCGCCAGATCCCAATTCTTCTAGGTGTCGTTGAGAACGAGGTGTCGTTCTTCTTAACATATTACGTTGGTGTACTGAAAATACCGATAAATATTCTCACTGGAAGAATCAACAGAGAAGAATTTTTTCGGTTACTTCCACTTACCTCAGCATCAAGTAATCAAACATTGAACATAATTGCGAAGCACTACCTAGCACCTTATCTTCCAGGTGAACCGCCCTTGTACATTGATGTAGGGGACGACATAGGTAAAGCAACTATTTATTTGTATCACTTTTAATCTACCGTTTTAGGTTGTAAAATACTGTTTTTCTCGAGAAAAAATAAAAAAGATTATTGTTATTAATTTTTTCATTTAAACTTATATTTTTTCATCTTAATCAACTAGCCTCTTAAAGTACGTGTCTATCGTCGAGCAATGCCTCTTCCTTTTGAAAACATTATGTAATATTTACGGTCATAATTATCTTCACTTGCAGGTTCAGATGTTATCTTTCGGTGTCCTGTTATAAACACTGCGCAGACTTTATCAACTGTAAACCCTAGTAACCCAGTCTATATGTACTCTTTTGAACATAGATCAGCAAAAAGTCCAACGCCATCTTGGTTCGGTGTTATACATGGCTCAGAGACCAGTTATGTATTTGGTTATCCTTTGGTTGACAACGTAAAGTTTACTGAAATAGACAAACGTGTTAGTGAGAGAATGATGAAATACTGGACAACGTTTGCTAAAACGGGGTAAATATGATCCTTAGTATAGTCATGGAGTAAAATATAGAAAATTTACATATTTTATTTTAGGAAAAGCCATGTATGGTTCAAACATTCATACAGTTTTGTATTATTCAAAATTATCAGTCAACATGTGTTCTAGAAGGACCATCAGTCCTTCACCTTTCATTTGATACCTAATAAATTACCAAGATCTATTCGACATACATGTAGTTTGATATTTGCATCTATGCATTGGAACTTTTTTGTTTTATATATATATATGTACTACTTTCCAGTATGTTCTTTTTGACCGTGCCTGATTTGGTGATAGATCTTACAAAGTCTGTCCGAATGATTTTGCAAAGAAGTCCGATCAAACCGGTGCCAAGGGCCGTCTAAAGGGCAAACGATAAACTTTTTATCCCACGGTGAATTCTTGACGACAATTTTCATACCAGCTATTTTTCCCCTAGTCAATTCAAATATGCAACAAAATATATACACCTTTCATGTGCTACTTTTAGAGATAAATGGGGTCGAAATGTTAGACATTAACTCAAAATTTCGATTTCTTGGAAATTTCTATCCTTTAGACAGATATACCTAACTTTTTTTATTTCAAAAGATTAACACAAGCGGATTTTTGTAAAAACATTTGGAGTATCTTCTTTACATAAGTATTCTCTAAATTTGGGTAACAATTCTTTGGAAATGATTAATTTTTATCATAGCTTCATGGTTTTAGAAAAAACGTCATTTCTTGCTGTATTTTTATTTGATTTAAAAAAAAAATCACCGGTGATTTGTTCATACAAATTGATACAAATAATCTTCACACATAATGAAACCAAATGTCATTTAAAAAAAAGAGGGCCAATGTACTCGTTTTCAAGTTAATGATTAAAATCAGTTGAAAAATGCATCTTTTCCCGATATGTCAGTTTGACGTCGCTAACAATAACATTTTACGTTAGCAACGTCATTACCTCCCCTGTAACTGTATCGTACGCCCTTGAACTTGCAGTGAGGTGAACGTATTTTTTTTGCTCCGTGTTGAAGGCCTAAGTGTGACTTTGAGATTACGAACAGTAATAAAAGCGCTGTTCCTTTGCTTTTGTATGTTTTTTGCTGTGCATGTACTGATTTTGTGTCGTGGATGGATACCCCATATCCTTTGTTTTTCTATTGTGAAATATCATTCACAGCACCCAATTGCCAAAAAGTCATTAAAAAACTCAAAAAACGAAGAAAAGACAAACAAGTCCACTAAACATAAATGAAAAAAAAACCATAGACTGAGCAACATGAACCCCCATCCAATACAAGGGGTGATATCAGGTCCTCCAGAATGGAATATAGATCCTGATTCACTGCATCATCTGTCGTGTTGGTCATGGTAAGTACACATTCGTCGATAATTTTCATTCAGTGATGTCATTATCGGAAACCTGTACAAACATGGAATATCGATTATCTGATGTAATTTATTACCATGACGTAGCATATGCCCAGTGTTTTGTGCCCGGTCACATTATACATGTTGTATTCCCTTTTACTTTTTGATAAATATTACATGTTGTCATGTGTTTTGAGATAAGAATGTCCGAAATAGTATGCTTAGTACTTATACTGTTTGCATTCAGCTGGTCAATACATCGTCATTTGAATATTATTTCCTTAACAAAATGCTTAAAAATGTAGCGGACCGATGATTATATTGCAGTATGGCATGGTGTACACCACAAGAGAACAATTTTAAAGGCATTCTATCTTTTCCCTCAGAAAAACGCTTATAAAATCTGAAATATTTCAAAATTCATTGAACAAAAATATTTTACTGTCAATATAAGCCAGAATTGAACAATTGCATTGGTGTGTTCTGTTTGCCTGAAGTGTTTGTATGCAGTTAACTTTGGTGTAAAACACTGAACATACAATTTACTAGATTTCGAATTCACAGCAAGAATGAAACCTTGATGATTATGTTTTGTTTTATAGAATAGAAAAACAAAGGATATGGGGTATACATCCGCAACAAAAAAACCAATACACGCACAGCAAAAAAACACATAAAAAGCAAAGGAACAGCGCTTTTATTGCTGTTCTTCATCTTAAAGTCACAGTGAGTCTTAAATACGGTGCAAAAAAAAAAACCAAACAACAAAAAAACAACAAAAGCTCTCACCTCACTGCAAGTTTAGGACGCCCCCTAGCACCGTTTTGACCACTTTAATAATTAAGCATAATTTGAAAAATAATTGAGTTCACTTAAGACCAAATAACAGTTTATATATTTGGTCATCTTTCAAAAGTCCCAGCTTTGATTCGATTTATTTTTTTAAAGATCAGTAACATGTGGAGCTAAGTACCATGAGCTCATCGTTACTATGAACATTAAGAGAAAACATAATAAAAAGGCATCAATAAACAAATATTTATATTAGGGAAATGATGCAAAGACGCTGGATGTTACATAATAATTTGATACTATCATTATACTTATTATTATCATTTAATCTGAAATGTTTGTTTTGTTGTAGAAATCCAAATTTTAGACATGACAGCTGTGATGATTGGGATCAGTACCGTACCAATAACAGGAAGTATCTGGTTATTGACAGTGATTGTCCACAAGATGGTGGAAAACTCCTGGAATCTCAGTGTGCTTTTTTGAAGAATGTACTTAATTAATCAGAAGATATAAAATAATAAAATAAAAGTTTATTTTGTAACAAATTCTTTTTACTGAAAGGTTGTATACTGATGAGTGTATTTATAAAGACAATGACAACATGTCTAAATTGAAACAACGTTCAAACTTATGATTGCGTTGGATAAAAATCGCAATTTTTATACGTGTGCATGGTAAAACAAATTTCTTGGTAGAGGGGTCTAAATACAGCACAAACAACATTTTTCAAAAGACCAAACAAGTGAAAAAGTATATTTTAACAAAACGCATTTGACTAACAGGTCGAAATACAAATGTTCTTAAACCCTGCTGACAACTATAAAGACAATAACTAACGCTATATAAAAAAAGGAGATGAGGTATGATTGTCAATGCGACTACTATCCACCAAAGTGCATGATAATCTCACCTGGTACGTTTATTACACATCATTTGAAGAAAAAAAAACCAGATATATAAGACGACAGATTTACTAATGTCAACCTTTGGAAATTTCCCTCCATTTCTAAACACCACTAGGCAAAGTATGACTGCATTTACCATATGTATTACTCATCATAGATACCAGGATTGAAATTTTATATTTACGCCAGACGCGCGTTTCGTCTACAAAAACCTCAACGACATTATCATACCGTATTTTGTAAATTTGGCAACGTAAAACGTCTAACGAATTCCAACAAGTAATTAAGTAATTGGTATCAGAAACCAACAGAAAAATTAACAAAATTGTCCAAATATGTTTCTCATTCATCAAATGTTTTATTTATGCAAATGTAGTTGATTAAACATGTTAAAGCTGATTGGCTAAATTGGTTGTGTGACACCCAAAAGAGGGCTGTCGTAAAAAGATGAAAATTACATAGCCTTTGTTTTGACATTCATATTAACTGAAGTTGTCTATACACACAGTTCTTAATGACGTTCACCAAACGCTTTGAGTGCACGCCCGTGGTTAAATATGAATATATTGTATGTCAGCTGATTGTCCACGTCATTATTTGTTTAGGTTGTTCTAATTATACTCTCGCGTCGTGTGCTTTTCATGTATGCGTTAGCAGAGATCAATCGGTGTAAATGATTTCATTGAACGGTGACGGACGTAAGGATATCAGGAATCTACGGACAAATGCACCAATATGAACTGAAATTCGTCACAAAATGGAAACATTAACAAACATTGATAAGAAATTGCAGAAAGCCCATTTTCTAAAATAAAAGTCTGATAATCATTTAAATTTGTTCTAACCTGTCTGTGTATGATATTGAAAATCGTTTAAGTATGCAACTAATCATGTTTTCTTCGTCTTTTACTTCACTATTAGTCTTTATCCTATTTGAAAAGAACAAATGCATGGGGCCATGATCTAATATTGATTTTGCCACGAGTTTGTCATTTATGCCGATGATTTATACTTTGCTATCGCTCGTGGTAAAATACTAAACATCAAGGGCCAACCCGTGGTAAAATATAAATAAATGCAAGCCACCATGAATAAATAAATCATCAATCGATTGAGAAAAAAAAAACAAATCCAGGTTACAAACTAAAACTGAGGGAAACACATCAAATATAAGAGGAGAACTACGACACAACAGAAACACAACATTAAAATGTAACACACACAGAAACGAACTATGATATTGTATAAATATTTTCAATGCGTTCTTGCATCTCCACCTAGAACAGAGAATACGACATCAGTTTTCCTATCGTGAACTTCCCTTTCCTAAGGCGAAAGATACTAAAGGGATATTTAAACTCATAAGTCGAAAAAAAAAGACTACGCCATTGCAAAAAAATGAAAAAACGACGAAAAAATAAACAACAGTACACAAAACATATAAAATTAAGACCGAGCAACATAGACCCCACCAAACACCGGGTTCGAGTCTTTAGTCCTCTCACTCGAACAAAGAGGAGTAAGCAATTTATTTATCAATGATATAAAAATAAAATTTTACAAATATATAAAGGATCAAAATGGGATTTTCTTTGTTTGGATAAAACATTAAAATTGAAGATAACTATGTTACTTTAAACACATTGTACGGTCCAAATAGTGATACCCCTTAATTTTATGACAAGGATGAGTTTGTTTTCCAGGGATTAGAGTGGGGTTCTAAGAAGTTTAAAAAATCAAGGTAACATACAATAATTGATGAAAATGCATGCACTCCAACAGGAGCGACACCGGGTACGTGAACAGAAAAATGCATGTATTAACCGCCATTCCAATACACTGTGAGTAAAATGTTAGAATGAGGAATAGGAAACAAAAGGGATAGAACACAATCGGTAAAATTAAAGTTTAGACGACTATTCTGGCATCTAAACATCAACATCGAACAATGTCGCTAGTGATTTGAGACACAGCCATATCGTATCGGTTAAGCTAGCAAAATAAAAAGAGAAACAATTTCTCAAATATACGAATTAGGTGGCCATTTTCAATTTAGATATGTAAATGGATTAAAATTAACTTGGACATCGTATAGAATTTGTTTGTTTATTGTATAGAAAGCAGGTAACAAAGTGTTATTTACGCAATATCACTAAAGTCACATGAAAACTAATACAAATAGGGAAAATCATGTTAAAATTATCAAAATGCAAGTAATTTTGAATTGATATCAATAAAAAGGGAATAAATTACACAACAGCTTGCCATACGAAACATTTGCAACTATATTACATGTTATACACAATCAATCTTACATTTCTAAATCATTCAAATTATGATACAACGTAAGTCACGTGGTAGTTATAATCTGTATTAAACAATATTCCCATTGATTAAAGTCGTTGACATAACTGTGACAGTGATAGTCACCTTAAATTTGATATCACTTTAAATTGGTCTTGGAATGATTCCGAGTTTTGGAAGAATTATTGCTCTTATTCTGTCATCTTATTTAACAGTACATTGCAACACGTTGGAACTTAAAATAAGTACTATAACTGGATACCTTCAAGGATTTCAGCAGACAATTCTTGAAACAGAAGTTACTGCCTTTTTAGGAATACCATTCGATTAGCCTCAAATGGGACACTAATGTTCCGAGAACAGGTTCCAGTAAGGCAGTGTACCAGAGAAGCCACAAGTTTCTCTAAGGCCTGTTCTTATAATGGGAAGTTTCTTGCTGCATATACAGACACTCTTGTTTTTACTATGAACTACAGGACTGCACCATTGGGTTTCTTGTATTTAAATGATAACGAAGGCGCCAGGGAATATGAGTCTACTTGACCAATCTTGCTATAAAGTGAATTTATGTCATCAACAAATTTGGAGGAAGAAGACGGAAAATTACTTTATTTTGACAAAGTGCTAGCTGGTGCTTCAAGCGTGAATTACCAAATCCGTTCTAGATTTTCACGACCTTTATTTTAAAAAACCAATCATGATTAGTGGAGTAGCGGTTTCGAATGCATACCATTCACCTTAACGGATACATTTTCTGGGTTAATAGAAAACAAAGGATATGATGTATCAATCCATGACACAAAATCAGTACATGCACAGCAAAAACACACAAAAAGCAAAGGATCAGCGCTTTTATTGTTCTTCTTCATCTCAAAGTCATTCATTGACCTGACCTTAATATCATTGGCATGTACTAATATGTAATGTTTGATGCGAAGTTTGTTGGTTTTAACCTATATTAATAAGTTTAATCAAAACATATCAGTTGTTTTCCGGTTATCTTGTAAAACAATGAAACACCCTTTTTAGATCAAAAAACCGTCTCGAGTCAACACTATAGATTGACTACTGGAAATTTTGAAATTTCAGCTTGCATCTATTATAACGATTGCTAAAACTGACATGAATGCAAGAATAAAACGTCGAAGACATTGCAAAAGATCGTTCGCTGCGATCACTTGTCAAACAAATCTTCAAATTGTGACTGGTTAAATTTGGATTTCTGTTATAATTTATGTGAACATTCAAAGACCACGAAGAAAACCTGTTGTCAACACCAAGTTTCTGGTGGGACTAATAAACAATGTTCTCATGTTGTGCTGGTACACCACTGTCCCAGGTTATGGGAGGATTGGACGCCCGCTTACATGTTAAATCCTGCCACAGTCTGTATGTGCCTATTCCAAGTCATTTCTGAACCTTTTATAGCTTACTTTGTGGTATGGTTTTGCTCATAGTTGAAGGCCGTAAGGTGACTTATATTAGTTAACTTCTACATCATTTGGTCTCAGTGGGTAGTGTCTCATTGGCAATCATACCACACTTTCTAATTTTAGTAACAAACAAGGATGTTTTTAGTTTTTACACTAGTAAATAAAGTAACAGTTATTTTTTTTTTATTTTCTTAATGATTTTATTATATTGTTATATCATTTATTCGGAAGAAACCATCCATGTCCCCAAATTTGAACCACATAGCAAAGAAAAAGTCATTTGCCTCAAAAGAAAGAACATGGACTGTAACTAGGTCTGGGTTTCTGTAGCCATCACCTGCAATACGTCCTGTGCCAAAATATCTGTAAATAAACATGGTTTCATTTCTAAAAGAGATAAATAGAATTTTCTGCTACCAACATTTCACAAAGCACAACATATAAAATAGCACAAATTTATTTGATAAAGCAGTGCTTCTTTATACAGAACTCCACAGTTAAAAAATATCCCTTTTGCATCCATAATCTAATAAATAGATAAGCCCTACGGAAGTTTATCTACAACTTGACAAAACATTCATTATAAAGAAGTATAATGTGTCCCGGATTTAAACTTGGTTACAGAAATCCGTGGTATGCAGTTAGTCCTCTGCTGCATAATCTGAAAGGATCAATACGTACTATAAAGCTGAACGATACGCATACAAACCTTTGGGAATCAATGTATTATGCCAAAGCATCATTTATAGTCGCTTTGTCCCTGATAGCTGGAGAATCAATGTACTATGCCAAAGCATCATTTATAGTCGATTAGTCCCTGATAGCTGGAGATTCATGTGAAATGTGATAGAAAAACCCAGCAGGAAATTTAATTAAGAATTCAAATCAAATATTGCATCAAATTCAAGTAAAAAATTGGAGTTATTGATGCCACCCCTAAATAACCTAGTATAACTTAGAAAACGAAAGCACTATATATATTTCATAAATATCTTTCCATTAGGAACTAAATGAAAAATGTTGCAATTAAAATTCATTATAAAATATGTTTTGATTTTGAAAATTCCAGTTCCAATAAAATAAACTGTTGGCACAAATATATGTCTTGCTTTTATGCAATGTTGATAGTATAATTTAAATATGAAAATAAACATGTAATCTATACAAATTAATAAAAGTCAAGGAGTCATGACTGAAGGTGCAGAGCCAAGTAACCTCAACTGCAATGAGAAATGTCAATGCGAATACAACTGCATACCAAATACCATATAATTATCATAAGTTCCCATTCAACTGACCTAAAATGTAACTTAAACATGTTTATTATGCAAAAGTTTCACAGTCAATGAACCATGACGAGGGGGCTAGCCATAGAATCTCGATCAAAATGAGACAAGCAAATACTCATGCAACTGCATAACAAATATAAATGACTTACATGTAAACTGTGCAAAAGTTTCAAAGTCAGTCAATGGACCATGACTTAGGGGACAGGTACAAATTATCTCCATGGAAATGAGATGGGCCAATGCTAATACATCTGCATACCAAATATCATTGACCTACCACTAGTGGTTTCCCATAAACAGACCTAATTGCAAACTAATACATTGTTGACACTGCAGCCAGACTGACGCAGAAAACAGCATGTTCAAGTCTCACTTTTTTGGACTTCATCCAGACGAGACAAAAAGGGGTAATTTCATTTCCATAAAATAAAAAGTCATGCTTCTTTCAATAAAAATCTTTTATTCTGTAATAACCATATATACAATGCATCAACAACCAGAGATTATAAAAAGCATCTTGAGACTGAATACATAAATGTCCTGGACTAATCGAGGGGTTGATATATCCAGTTCCTGCCACTCGACCTTTGGAGAAATACCTACAACAGAAAGTGATTACATGAAGGGTTGGTTTATCATGTGTATCGAGATATCTCGACTGCTGAACTGAGCATTACTGAACTTCATATTGAAGGTCTTTGAGATAAAGGTTCTTATACACATATCACAAAAACTTTACATTATCATTGAAAATGAGTTCAAGGTAATATGAACCCTGTTTGAGGATCATATACATCTTACAATCATCCGTACACCAAGCATGGTTGACCTATTGCTTATTTTATCTGAGAAAGTAACTTTACAAGAAAGTTGATCAGATGAACCATGAAAATGAGTTCAAGATCAGATGAACCATGAAAATGAGTTCAAGATCAGATGAACCATGAAAATGAGTTCAAGATCAGATGAACCATGAAAATGAGTTCAAGATCAGTTGAACCATGAAAATGAGTTCAAGATCAGTTGAACCATCCTAGAAAGACATAGACATGTACACTTAACAATCATTTCATACACCAAGTAAAGTTGATGTATTGCTTACAGTGTCTGAGAAAATGACCTTACTAAGAAAACTTAACCTTCATGAAAGAACCAGGAAAATGAGGTCAAGGTCACACGAACCCTGACAGTGAGACATGTTAACCTTAAAATCATTCCATACACCACATATAGTTAATTTATTGCTTATACTATCTGTGAAAGTGACCTTGCAATGTAAACTTAAAACAAATAGCTTCAATGCACTTATTCTAAAGGCTAATTGCTTATACTATCTGTGAAAGTGACCTTGCAATGTAAACTTAAAACAAATAGCTTCAATGCACTTATTCTAAAGGCTAAGGGATCATAGATTTATTTATGGAGAAGACTTCATAAGTATGATTTACTTGTGTCTCATCCATTTTGCTGATATTAAGCAAATAAAATATGTTTAAACTAATAGATTTATTCTTACGAGGAAGCTCCAAGCATGCTCGGAGGATGCTTGGAGCTTTTTAAGTAGGCTCTTCTCAACAGTTTATGTGACAATAATTATCATGATCCATTAAGATGTCAATCTAATCTATAGCACTTTTATAATAAGGAAAGTAGAGTTTTATAGAGGAAGCTCCATTAACACCTGTGTTAACATCTGGTCTATTCAAACAAATCTTGCATTAATTTTACAAAACTATAAAATAGATGAGAAGTTCTTCAATATTACTGTTCAATGCTTGGTATCAAGTCTTCACAGAAAGAAAATGATTTTAAAACATGTTCTTAATAATTATCATTCTTTTTCAATACACATGATACAAAAAAACACTCAAATTTTATATTTGAAATATAAATATATTTTAAATTTATACTATATAAAATGAAATATAAAAGTCATCAAAGACACAAACTATGGTTATTGATTTATAACCATACTACTAAAACATAGTAAAGTTTCATGCGAAAAAGGATTGATCTTTTTTTATATTCCATTTAATTTGACAGTTGTTTGAAATTAACCCTCCATTTCATTGCAGAAAAGTTCTTTTGAGTCGTAAACATGTTTCTTTGGTGTTTCAAAGCAATAAAAATATACTATATTCTACAGGGAAAAAAGGGGGAGAGAATTTGATTGGTTTACTTCTGGTGATGTTTACTTTCTTATATGCACTGAAAAGTTATGCTATATTTTCACTGTAGTACAGGACATTTATTTATGTCAAGTATCTCTTTATTTAAAACATAGATAAATTCTGCACATTTTTTTTTAAATATAACAATCATGACAATTAAACAAAGATTTATAGGGGGAAAATAATTTTACTCATGCCAAGTATTTCTTTATTTAAAACAAAGCTAAATCTGCACAATTAAAAAAAAATGCCAATTAAAGAGAGACGTACTAGTGGGAAAACAATGGTGGTATTACCCCCTCAAACCAGGCTTCCACTAATGAATTACAATTTTTCTTAAAGTAGCCATAATTGTCTATAAAAGAACTTAGTTTGCTATTTAAAAAAACATATTACCATTGTTTAGTTAGGGGCATTACTTAAACAAGTAATTTTCAAAATTACCTATACAAGTTATGTTGAAGATGAGGCTGTTTCAAATATTACTTCTATATCATGAATAAGTATCTTCTGTTAATATTATTTTTATAGGTGTCCATTCATACAGGTTTTACTAGTTTTAACAAATTTTCACAGACATCTGGTTATTTTCCAAATGAAATACTAGTAAAATTATTTAAATCCTCAACAAGCACTAATTGCTTTTCTGTTCCACACTTCTTGGTCAAAGATTGGCCTCTTGGGGCTATTAAAATATCATTTCCCTTTAAAATCTTAGAGATAGACAGTTATAACTAGATATGGAACCTTTAATTAAGACTTGAAGTTATTTATAATTTGAATCTTAATCAAAAGCAATTACATATATTCCTTAAATAATTGTAAGTACTAAGTTTTTTAAAGTTGTATAAAACAATTTATTAAATTAATATTTTTGTCATTATTTTTTAAAGTAACCTCTCTATACTTATCTAAAATTGGATAAATACTTAATTTTATTTAATGAAATGATATAAAAATTCTTAAAAACTAAGTTTAGTCCATGCTTTATTTGACATTTAAAATAACTATTGGGTTATTAAATAATTTTTAAAAACAAAAAATACTTATAAAAGTGACTAAAAAAAATTACTTGTTTAGTATCGCCACCTGACTGTTGTTTGTGTCTTGATAACTTTTATGTAGCATATTATACAGTATAAACTATTTTTAAATCATATCATCTAATTATAAAATTTGAGAATTTTTTTATTATAAAAAAGGAATGATTATTAAATATAATAAGAAAATATTTTAATGACTTTTACTTTTTGTGGAGACTTGAGATTTCTTTCCAAGCATTACAAAGCACTGTTGAAGAATTTCTAATCTATTTTATAGTTTTGTAAAATTTCATGCAAAATGTATTTGAATAGAACAGATGTTTACACAGGTGTTTATGGAGCTTCCTCTATGATGCTCTACTTTCCTTATCATAGAAGTGGTGTAGATTTGATTGACATCTTAATGGATCATGATAATTATTGTCACATTAACTGCTGAGAAGAGCCTACTTAAAAAGCTCTGAGCATCCTCGAGCATGCTCGGAGCTTCCTCGCTAGAATAAATCTATGATTCCTTATCAATTTAACACGATAATAAGATCTTTGAACATTGATTTTATCTGTTCTAACATTGCATTTTGTTATAAATAAATCAGAACATATATTAGTTTAATATGTAGTATGTATTGCTATACAATTTTTAACACTTCTACATCCTGTCAATACTTTTATTTTGGCATTGCACAAGTTCATGTTTTCCAAGACTACTTATGACGTCTTGATGTTGAATCCATTGGATGTGTAATGAATGATAGTTTGTCTTGGATACATGATTTTATATATTAGTTGTTATTGGCTTTCAACTAGCTTTCAGTAACTGCAAAGGCTCTCAGATTGTTACTTTGTGTCTTTAGAGTTCCTGAGAGTTGTTTTTGTGCTTTGTTTTGTTCTGATGAAGCAAGCCCTTATCAATTGATTTTTACAGTTTGTTCTTATGTTGTGCTGTTACAGTACCAACAAACATGTTTAACCCTACCACATTCTATATGTGCCTGTCCCAAGTCAGGAGCCTGTATTTCAGTGGTTGTCGTTTGTTGCTAAATATCATATTTGCTTTTCACTTGTTTTGTACAAAAAACAGGCCATTGGTTTTTTTCTCGTTTGAATTATTTTACATTTTTCACGACAGAGCCTTTACATATAGCTGACTTTACGATATGTGTTTCGCTAATCTTTGATGTCGTATAGTCTCCTATAGTTACTTTTATCTACATCATCTGGTGGGTAGTTGTTTCATTGGCAATCATACCATACCTCCTTATTTCATATCAGTAAAAAATCTTTTGAGATTTAATAATATTGTAATGGAAGTGATTCGCAATAAAACAATTCTTAAAATATCCTTTAGTGCCAGATTTTTTTATTACCTCCCTTTCCTAATGTTGACTTTACCACAACCATATAGAAATGTTCAAATTCTTAAAATGCTGTTATTAACTTTCATAACCCTTTCCCTTATTCTGCATGGCAAAATTAATAATTCCTGTGTTTTTATTAGTGCACCAAAGATAACTTTGAATGAAAAGATGCCAGTAGATTGAAGCCTATGATCAATATTGCTAATACAGTATAGGTTTTTACCTGTACTCGCATGTTGTTGGTGTTGAATCACCTAAAAAGGTGGAAAAACCTGGAGGTATCACAAATGGCTGGTTTCTAGGTTGTACATCGTCTGAATCGGGTATATCATCCTCCTCTAATAACAACAAGCTGTCTACATCTAACTGCTGTTCTTTAGTCAGCTGCATAGGTTTACGTAAGTTAATGAAAATACTGGTTTCTCCTGATGGTACATTAGGATCACCCTGGAACATGGTAAATAAACATCATATTAGACCTTTGATCAATACTAGGATGATGAACAGCAATAAAAGCATTGTTCCTTTGATATACCAATGTAATCTATTTACCGACTTTCCCTTGGGCAATTGACTAAGTCACCATGATATATTACTTGTCTGAAAGAGAAACCCACTTGTCCAAAATTTGTATTGAATATCATAAAAAATGGCCTAAGTCTCCCTTTTTTTGGATTCATTGAGACAAAACAAAAATACAGAACTAAAGGCTCTAAAGAGCCTGTAACGCTCACCTACATTTTTTACCTAGGTCTATGAGCATCTTTAACAATGGACACTCTCCAACATTATAGATTAGAATAGAAATCATGACAAAAATCTCTGTTTTTGTTGATCTTCAGTTGCTGATCATTTTCTGATTTTGAACTCCAAGGACGGCATTAAGGTTGTCATATTTTCATAACAACACATCTGGGAAGAGTTTATGGACCATGAATTGCATGATTGAACTCCCTGCTGTCAACACAGTTCACCTGGGGAAGTTCTAAACAAGTGGCTCTCAAGAGCCTGAATCGCTCACCTGTAATTTTAATGCATTAATCTTTCATAAATTTTTGAAAATTAACAAACATGATGAACAAATTAAAAAAAAATGTCTTTAAACGGTTATAACTCCTTCAGGGGTCAATTGACAATTTTGATCATTTGAAAAATTAGAAGATCTTACTTTGCAAAACACTTTTACTGTTTTTTGTTTATCTTTTTCTATAACATTTAAGGTAATAACCAATAAAATGCTCCGCAGGGCGCAGCTTGATACGACCGCAGAGGTCGAACCCTGAACAGTTTGGGAAAGTATGGACACAACATTCAAGCTTGATACAGCTTTGCATTTGGATTGTGATTAAATATTTGACACAGCATAGGTTTCTGACACAGAATGAATGTGGTCTAAGAACTTAAAAATTTTAAATTGGACATTCACCTATTATGGTCCAATATCCAAAATCTAAATCCATGGTTAGATTCAGCATATCAAAGAACCCCAAGAATTCAATTTTTGATGAAATCAAACAAAGTTTAATTTTGGACCCTTTTGACCTCAATGTGGACAAAGTTGATAACGGGGCCAAAAAATCTAAAATCTAAATACATGGTTAGATTCAGCATATCAAAGGACCCCATATATTCAATTTTTGTTGAAATCAAACAAAGTTTAATTTTGGACCCCGATTTGGACCAACTTGAAAACTGGGCTCATAATCAAAAATCTAAATACATGTTTAGATTCAGCATATCAAAGAACCCTAAGAATTCAATTTTTGTTAAAATCAAACTAAGTTTAATTTTGGACCCTTTGGACCTTAATGTAGACCAATTTGAAAACGGAACCAAAAATTAAGAATCTAAATACACGGTTAGATTCGGCATATCAAAGAACCCCAATAATTCAATTTTTGATGAAATCATACAAAGTTTAATTTTGGACCCTTTTGACCTCAATGTGGACAAAGTTGATAACGGGGCCAAAAAATCAAAAATCTAAATACATGGTTAGATTCAGCATATCAAAGGACCCCATATATTCAATTTTTGTTGAAATCAAACAAAGTTTAATTTTGGACCCTGATTTGGACCAACTTGAAAACTGGGCTCATAATCAAAAATCTAAATACATGTTTAGATTCAGCATTTCAAAGAACCCTAAGAATTCAATTTTTGTTAAAATCAAACTAAGTTTAATTTTGGACCCTTTGGACCTTAATGTAGACCAATTTGAAAACGGAACCAAAAATTAAGAATCTAAATACACGGTTAGATTCGGCATATCAAAGAACCCCAATAATTCAATTTTTGATGAAATCAAACAAAGTTTAATTTTGGATCCTTTGGACCTCAATGTGGACCAATTTAAAAACGGGGCCCAAAATCCAAAAACTGAATTCACGGTATGATTCAGCATATTAAAAAACCCCAAGAATTCAAGAATAAAACCCCATTGAAATTGGTCAAGAAATAAGCAATTTATACGAAGTATCTTCTCTTGCACAATACTGTGCAATTAAATATTTCTTGCTATTGCGCAATACTGTACAATTGACAATTTCTTGCTATTGCGCAATATTGTGCTATTGGATGTTTCTTGCTATTGCGCAATACTGTGCAATTGAAGATTTCTTGCTATTGTGCAATACTGTGCAATTGAAGATTTCTTGCTATTGTGCAATACTGTGCAATTGAAAATTTCTTGCTATTGCACAATACTTATTATATAATAATTTACACATCCTGTTTGGTGTGTATCTCCTACCATATCATTATTATTTGCTTTTAAATATAAATCAGAAATAACCAACTTAAAATGGAAAATTTTAAAAGAAAAAAAAAAGGAAAAAATAAAAACCACCCCCAAATTTTTTGAACCCCCTTATGATTCATCACCCCCAAACTCAATCCCAGCCTTCCCTTTGTGGTATGGTACCTTGCAGTACAATTTCAGAGAGATCCATACACTTGAACACAAGTTATTGTCTGGAAACTAGAAAAATGTGTTTTTTGGCCCCTTTTTGGCCCCAAATTCCTAAACGTTTAAGGCAATTACCCCCAAACTCAAACCCAGCTTTCCCTTTGTGATATGGAACCTTGCAGTACAATTTCAGAAAGATCCATACACTTACACACAAGTTATTGTCCTGAAACTAGAAAAATGCTTGTTTTTTGCCCCTTTTTGGCCCCTAATTCCTAAAATTTTGAGGCAATTACCCCAATCATCAATCCCAGCCTTCCCTTTGTGGTATGGTACCTTGCAGTACAATTTCAGAGAGATCCATACACTTGAACACAAGTTATTGTCTGGAAACTAGAAAAATGCTTATTTTTGGCCCCTTTTTGGCCCCCAATTCCTAAACGTTTCGGCAATTATCCCCAAACTCAATTCCAGCTTTCCCTTTGTGATATGGAACCTTGTAGTACAATTTCAGAAAGATCCATACACTTACACACAAGTTATTGTCATGAAACTAGAAAAATGCTTGTTTTTTGCCCTTTTTTTGGCCCCTAATTCCTAAAATTTTGAGGCAATTACCCCCAAAATCAATCCCAGCATTCTTTTTTGTGATATGGAACCTTGTGGTACAATGTCAGAGAGATCCATACACTAACACACAAGTTATGTCTGGAAGTTACAAAAATGCTTATTTTTGGCCCCTTTTTGGCCCCTAATTCCTTTACAGTTGGTACCATAACCCCCAAAATCAATCCCAACCTTCCTTTTGTGGTATTGAACCTTGTGGTAAAATTTCATAGAGATCCATTCACTTAAACTAAAGTTAGAGTGCGAAAACCAATGTGTCTTCGGACGACGCCGGACGACGCCAGACGACGACGACGCCAACGTCATACCAATATACGACCACAAAATTTTTTTGCGGTCGTATAAAAACTGCAAAATTTCCTTAAAATTGTCAATTCAGGGGCAATAACCCCAATATCAGTTGTCTAATTTGTCTAAAAATTTCAGATGTAGATCTCTACCTAACACTTTCACTCCTGTGAGTTTTGCTATAAATGCTTTAGCTTTTGAGATATCAGCCAAAAACTGCATTTTACACTATGTTCTATTTTTAGCCACGACGGCCATGTTTTTTGAGGAAATACAATATAAAACACAAACTTTATAATAAATACCCTAAGGATCATTAAGCATAATTTTAGCTGCAATTGGTTCAGTAGTTTCAGAGAAGAAGATTTTTGAGTTAACAAAAATGATGAACAAATTGTGAAAAATTATCTTTAAATGCCAATAACTCCTTAAGGGGTTAATTGAAAATTTTGGTCATATTGACTTAATTATAGATCTTACTTTGCTGAACATTTTTGCTGTTCACAGTTTCTCTCTATCTATAATAATAAAGATAACAACAAAAAACTGCAAAATTTCCTTAAAATTATCAATACAGGGGCAATAACCCCAAAATCTGTTATCCAACTTGTCTGAAAATTTCGTGACAGGTAGATCTTGACCTATTAAACACTTTTACCCCATGTCAGATTCGCTCTAAACGCTTAAGTTTTTGAGATATAAGCCAAAAACTGCATTTTACCCCTACCTTCTATTTTTAGCCATGGCTGCCATGTTTTTAGACAAAACAGAAAATAAAACACAAACTTTATTCTAGATACCCTATGGATCATTCAGCTTAAGTTTGGTTTAATTTGGTTCAGTAGTTTCAGAGGGGAAGATGTCTGAAACTAAAGTAAGAGAAAGGAAACAACAGATTTAGCAATTTTTCCATTCATAAAGGGGCATAATTCATGAACAGTAAAAGTGATGCCACCCAATTTTGAAGTTGATCTGTGTTTTGTGGTAATAAGCATTGCGTATAAGTTTCATAACATTTAGTTGAGGCAAACTAAAGTTAGAGAACGGAAACGACAGATTTAGCAATTTTTATGTTTATAAAGGGGCATAACTAATGAACAGTAAAAGTGACACCACCCAATTTTGAACTTGATCTGTGGTTTTGTGTTTTGTGGTAATATGCATTGTGCATAAGTTTTATAATATTTGGTTAAGGCAAACTAAAGTTAGAGAGTTTGTAGGTCTTGTTTTGCTGATTATTTTTGCTCTACAAAGTGTCTATCTATCTTTCATAGATTTCAAGATAACAGGCAAACAGGCAAACACACTATAAATTGGTAAAATTTGTCATTAAGGAGCAATAACTCAAATAACAAGTTGACTGAAGAATTTCAGCTATTAGACTGATTTGTAGGTCTTGTCTTGCTGATAATTCTTGTCTTTAAACATGTAAAAAGTTCTCTCTATCTATTAATATTTTCAAGATAATAGGCAAAGTTGAAAAAAAATGTTAAATAAGTTATATCAGGTGTCTTCCACCATCTTGGATTGTAAAATATCAGAAAAAAATCAGTCTAGGAGATATTTTATGAAACGTGCAAATTTTGAGATTTTCTTGTACCTTTCCAGGTAATCAAATAACCCGGGATTTTATCAAATGACCCATTTTCACCCATATTCTAGTGCAATGAGACTTCCAAATAAAAAAAAAAAAAAGATGTGGTAGGATTGCCAATGAGACAACTCTTCACCAGAGATCAATTGACATAGAAGTAAACACTGAACCCCAGGCTCCTGACCTGGGATAGGCACACACAGAACATGGCAGGGCCAAACATGTTTGCTGGCACCCAACCCTACCCCCAATCAGGGACAGTGGTGCAACAGAACAACATATGAACAAACTAAGTCTAAAATGCTAACTTTTCCTGTGAAAAAAAAGCAAATTTGAAATTCTTCCTTGAAGGGAAGTTTGATAATTTGCTTTCAATTGAATGATTTACAGCTTTCAAAACATAATTTTGACACTCTTTTGAAAGGTAATAACAATTCTCTCATTATCTAGTAAAATTGAACCCAAGAAAGGTTGAATTAAGCCAGTCAAGCTTGACTCACAATTTCAGGTCCAGATTTATAAAATTTGCCATTTGCAAATATCAATTATCCTATAAAACTCATTTCAAAATAATTTGAAACTCTTTATACATCCCTTTTTGGAGAGATACAAGTCCCTGAACTATTTGCAACAATTTATTTTTGTTATCACTTAAAATCAATGTGCTCTACCTGAGACTGCACAGAATGTAAACAACATTCTTCTTTCTATTTATCTTCCTCCTATTTATAGGAGCACATCAGCTATAGCTGATTTCTTATTATAGTTGGGGTTTATAAAATTCATTAATAAAAAAAAATCTGTCATCAATTGCATGCTAAAAATATTTTATTTTATTTTACAAAGAAAAATATTTTGGGTCTTAATAATGTGTATAATGGGATTGTGCTACAAAATTTATAAACCATACCATGGTTTTCCACTTAATTAGAACTTACTGTAATTTTAATGACCTCAGCTTCCTTCTTACTCATATCATATTTCAACAGGAACATTTCTATACCATGAGCACTGTAATGTGCTAGAAATAGACCAGGCTGTATTGGGTATACTGGGTTAGGTTTCTGGACTTCTACACGTGTCAGTTTATATTTCTGCCTGAAAGAAAAAGCATATTTTCTATAACAAAGATGATAACAATAATTCTAATGACATGTAACACATCACTAAAAACAACCTTGTCAACATTTACAGACTACATCACTGTTACAGACAACATCACTAACAACAACAATCCCTGTCAACATTGAGACTACATCACTGACAACAACAATCCCAGTCAACATTGAGACTACATCACTGACAACAACAATCCCAGTCAACATTGAGACTACATCACTGACAACAACAATCCCAGTCAACATTGAGACTACATCACTGACAACAACTATCCCAGTCAACATTTACAGACTACATCACTGACAACAACGATCCCAGTCAACATTTACAGACAACATCACTGACAACAACAACCCCAGTCAACATTTACAGACTACATCACTGACAACAACAACCCCAGTCAACATTTACAGACTACATCACTGTTACAGACTACATCACTGACAACAACATCCCCAGTCAACATTTACAGACTACATCACTGACAACAACAATCTCGGTCAACATTTACAGACTACATCACTGACAACAACAACCCCAGTCAACATTTACAGACTACATCACTGACAACAACAATCCCAGTCAACATTTACAGACTACATCACCGACAACAACAATCCCAGTCAACATTTACAGACTACATCACTGACAACAACAATCACAGTCAACATTTACAGACTAGATCACTGTTACAGACTACATCACTGACAACAACAATCACAGTCAACATTTACAGACTACATCACTGTCAACAACAACCCCAGTCAACATTTACAGACTACATCACTGACAACAACAACCCCAGTCAACATTTAGACTACATCACTGTTACAGACTACATCACTGACAACAAAAACCCCAGTCAACATTTACAGACTACATCACTGACAACAACAATCACAGTCAACATTTACAGACTACATCACTGTTACAGACAACATCACTGTTACAGACTACATCACTGTAAGAGTGATCGCCCCTTGTGTGCACTATAAATCACAAGCAATTACCTAGTTTTACATCACCAGTAAGAGTGATTGCCCCTTGTGTGCACTATAAATCACAAGCAATCACCTAGTTTAACATCACCAGTAAGAGTGATTGCCCCTTGTGTGCACTATAAATCATTAGCAATCACCTAGTTTTACATCAACAGTAAGAGTGATCGCCCCTTGTGTGCAACTATAAATCACAAGCAATCACCTAGTTTACATCACCAGTAAAAGTGATTGTCCCCTGTGTGCACTATATGTAGCAAGCAATCACCTAGTTTTATGTCACAGTAAGAGTCATTGCCCCTTGTGTGCACTATAAATCACAAGCTATCATCTACCAGTAGTTTTACATCACCAGTAAGAGTGATTGCCCCTTGTGTGCACTATAAATCACAAGCAATCACCTGGTTTTACATCACCAGTAAGAGTGATCGCCCCTTGTGTACACTATAAATCACAAGCAATCACCTAGTTTTACATCACCAGTAAGAGTGATCGCCCCTTGTGTACACTATAAATCACAAGCAATCACCTAGTTTTACATCACCAGTAAGAGTGATTGCTCCTTGTGTGCACTATAAATCATAAGCAATCACCTAGTTTTACATCACCAGTAAGAGTGATTGCCCCTTGTGTGCACTATAAATCACAAGCAATCACCTAGTTTTACATCAACAATAAGAGTGATTGCCCCTTGTGTGCACTATATAATCCACTTACACATTTCTAGCATAGCTCTCCAACCTTTTTTGGTCATCTCTTGTAAATGGTATGGTGTGGTTGTTTGTTTCTCTCTTAATCATGTTAGATAACTCCTGTCAAAATACATGAAATATTAATTTTCTGAAACTATGTATTCAGAACCTTAATAATAAACTTTTAAACTTCAGGTTTTTACACGAAACCATTAGGTCAATGTTTTGTAAGTTGGAATGTTTTATTGTGTACAATATTGACTATAAAATAAAGAATGAAAATGGGAAATGTGTCAAAGAGACAACAACCCAACCAAAGAGCAGAAAACAGGCCAAGGCCACCAAGGGGTCTTCAACAGAGCGAGAAAATCCCGCACCTGGAGGCAAGCTTCTGCTGGCACCTTAACAATAATGTATACTAGTTCAGCAAAAATGAACGTCAAACTAAACTCCGAAAATGTATATCAATGGATTGTACTTTTAATTTTAAAGCATGCCTGGCTTTATAAGCTTAGGTTTGGCTGGGTATAAAAAATAAATTACCAAATCTGCGCACATACTAAGTAGGCAGGAGGAAAAAGTCAGTCTGAACTGTAAGGTATTTTGTTGTAGATTCACATTGAGTCAGTCTGAGTTGTAAGGTATTTTGTTGTAGATTCACATTGAGTCAGTCTGAGTTGTAAGGTATTTTGTTGTAGATTCACATTGAGTCAGTCTGAGTTGTAAGGTATTTTGTTGTAGATTCACATTGAGTCAGTCTGAGATGTCAGGTATTTTGTTGTAGATTCACATTGAGTCAGTCTGAGTTGTAAGGTATTTTGTTGTAGATTCACATTTTGTCAGCCTGAACTGTAGGGTATTTTGTTGTAGATACACAATGAGTAAGCCTGAACTGTACGGTATTTTGTTGTAGATTCACATTGAGTCAGTCTGAGCTGTAAGGTATTTTGTTGTAGATTCACATTGAGTCAGTCTGAACTGTAAGATATTTTGTTGTAGATTCACACTGAGTAAGCCAGAGCTGTACGGTATTGTGTTGTAGATTCACATTGAGTCAGTCTGAGCTGTAAGGTATTTTGTTGTAGATTCACATTGAGTCAGTCTGAGCTGTAAGGTATTTTGTTGTAGATTCACATTGAGTCAGTCCGAGCTGTCAGATATTTTGTAGTAGATTCACAATGAGTAAGCCTGAACTGTACGGTATTGTGTTGTAGATTCACATTGAGTCAGTCTGAGCTGTAAGGTATTTTGTTGTAGATTCACATTGAGTCAGTCTGAACTGTCAGGTATTTTGTTGTGGATTCACATTGAGTCAGTCTGAGATGTCAAGTATTTTGTTGTAGATTCACATTGAGTCAGCCTGAGCTGTAAGATATTTTGTTCTAGATTCACATTGGGTCAGTCTGAGTTGTAAGGTATTTTGTTGTAGATTCACATTGAGTCAGTCTGAGTTGTAAGGTATTTTGTTGTAGATTCACATTGAGTCAGTCTGAGATGTCAGGTATTTTGTTGTAGATTCACATTGAGTCAGTCTGAGTTGTAAGGTATTTTGTTGTAGATTCACATTTTGTCAGCCTGAACTGTAGGGTATTTTGTTGTAGATACACAATGAGTAAGCCTGAACTGTACGGTATTTTGTTGTAGATTCACATTGAGTCAGTCTGAGCTGTAAGGTATTTTGTTGTAGATTCACATTGAGTCAGTCTGAACTGTAAGATATTTTGTTGTAGATTCACACTGAGTAAGCCAGAGCTGTACGGTATTGTGTTGTAGATTCACATTGAGTCAGTCTGAGCTGTAAGGTATTTTGTTGTAGATTCACATTGAGTCAGTCTGAGCTGTAAGGTATTTTGTTGTAGATTCACATTGAGTCAGTCCGAGCTGTCAGATATTTTGTAGTAGATTCACAATGAGTAAGCCTGAACTGTACGGTATTGTGTTGTAGATTCACATTGAGTCAGTCTGAGCTGTAAGGTATTTTGTTGTAGATTCACATTGAGTCAGTCTGAACTGTCAGGTATTTTGTTGTGGATTCACATTGAGTCAGTCTGAGATGTCAAGTATTTTGTTGTAGATTCACATTGAGTCAGCCTGAGCTGTAAGATATTTTGTTCTAGATTCACATTGGGTCAGCCTGAGTTGTAAGGTATTTTGTTGTAGATTCACATTGAGTCAGTCTGAACTGTCAGATATTTTGTAGTAGATTCACTCACATTGAGTCAGCCTGAGTTGTAAGGTATTTTGTTGTAGATTCACGTTGAGTCTGTCTGAACTGTCAGATATTTTGTTGTAGATACACATTGGGTCAAACCGGAACTGTAAGGTATTTTGGATTAGATTCACAATGAGTAAGCCTGAACTGTACGGTATTTTGTTGTAGATTCACATTGAGTCAGTCTGAGCTGTAAGGTATTTTGTTGTAGATTCACATTGAGTCAGTCTGAACTGTAAGATATTTTGTTGTAGATTCACACTGAGTAAGCCAGAGCTGTAAGGTAATTTGTAGTAGATTCACATTGAGTCAGTCTGAGTTGTAAGGTATTTTGTTGTAGATTCACATTGAGTCAGTCTGAGTTGTAAGGTATTTTGTTGTAGATTCACATTGAGTCAGTCTGAGTTGTAAGGTATTTTGTTGTAGATTCACATTGAGTCAGTCTGAGATGTCAGGTATTTTGTTGTAGATTCACATTGAGTCAGTCTGAGTTGTAAGGTATTTTGTTGTAGATTCACATTTTGTCAGCCTGAACTGTAGGGTATTTTGTTGTAGATACACAATGAGTAAGCCTGAACTGTACGGTATTTTGTTGTAGATTCACATTGAGTCAGTCTGAGCTGTAAGGTATTTTGTTGTAGATTCACATTGAGTCAGTCTGAACTGTAAGATATTTTGTTGTAGATTCACACTGAGTAAGCCAGAGCTGTACGGTATTGTGTTGTAGATTCACATTGAGTCAGTCTGAGCTGTAAGGTATTTTGTTGTAGATTCACATTGAGTCAGTCTGAGCTGTAAGGTATTTTGTTGTAGATTCACATTCAGTCAGTCCGAGCTGTCAGATATTTTGTAGTAGATTCACAATGAGTAAGCCTGAACTGTACGGTATTGTGTTGTAGATTCACATTGAGTCAGTCTGAGCTGTAAGGTATTTTGTTGTAGATTCACATTGAGTCAGTCTGAACTGTCAGGTATTTTGTTGTGGATTCACATTGAGTCAGTCTGAGATGTCAAGTATTTTGTTGTAGATTCACATTGAGTCAGCCTGAGCTGTAAGATATTTTGTTCTAGATTCACATTGGGTCAGCCTGAGTTGTAAGGTATTTTGTTGTAGATTCACATTGAGTCAGTCTGAACTGTCAGATATTTTGTAGTAGATTCACTCACATTGAGTCAGTCTGAGTTGTAAGGTATTTTGTTGTAGATTCACGTTGAGTCTGTCTGAACTGTCAGATATTTTGTTGTAGATACACATTGGGTCAAACCGGAACTGTAAGATATTTTGGATTAGATTCACAATGAGTAAGCCTGAACTGTACGGTATTTTGTCGTAGATTCACATTGAGTCAGTCTGAGCTGTAAGGTATTTTGTTGTAGATTCACATTGAGTCAGTCTGAACTGTAAGATATTTTGTTGTAGATTCACACTGAGTAAGCCAGAGCTGTAAGGTAATTTGTAGTAGATTCACATTGAGTCAGTCTGAGCTGTAAGGTATTTTGTTGTAGAGTCAAATTGAGTCAGTCTGAGATGTCAGGTATTTTGATGTAGATTTACATTGTGTCAGTCTGAGCTGTAAGGTATTTTGTTGTAGATTCACATTGAGTAAGCCTGAACTGTAAGGTATTTTGTTGTAGTGTCACATTGAGCAAGCCTGAACTGTAAGGTATTTTGTTGTAGATTCACATTGAGTGAGCCTAAACTGTAAGGTATTTTGTTGTAGATTCACATTGAGTAAGCCTGAACTGTAAGGTATTTTGTTGTAGTGTCACATTGAGTAAGCCTGAACTGTAAGGTATTTTGTTGTAGATTCACATTGAGTCAGTCTGAGCTGTACAAGATATTTTGTTGTAGATTCACACTGAGTAAGTCAGAGCTGTAAGGTAATTTGTAGTAGATTCACATTGAGTCAGTCTGAGCTGTAAGGTATTTTGTTGTAGAGTCAAATTGAGTCAGTCTGAGATGTCAGGTATTTTGTTGTAGATTTACATTGAGTCATTATGAATTGTCAGATATTTTGTTGTAGATTCACATTGAGTCAGTCTGATCTGTAAGGTATTTTGTAGTAGTTGTATTGAGTCAGTCTGAGCTGTAAGATATTTTGTTGTAGATTCACATTGAGTCAGTCTGAGCTGTCAGATATTTTGTAGTAGATTCACATTGAGTCAGCCTGAACTGTAAGGTATTTTGTTGTAGATTCACACTGAGTCAGCCTGAACTGTCAAGTATTTTGTTGTAGATTCACATTGAGTCAGTCTGAGATGTAGGGTATTTTGTTGTAGAGTCACATTGAGTCAGCTTGAACTGTCAGGTATTTTGTTGTAGATCACATTGAGTCAGTCTGAACTGTAACATGTGTAAGGTATTTTGTTGTAGATTCACATTGAGTCAGTCTGAACTTTAAGATATTTTGTTGTAGATTCACACTGAGTAAGCCAAAGCTGTAAGGTATTTTGTTGTAGATTTACATTGAGTCAGTCTGAGCTGTAAGGTATTTTGTTGTAGATTCACATTGAGTCAGTCTGAACTGTAAGGTATTTTGTTGTAGTGTCACATTGAGTCAGCTTGAACTGTCAGGTATTTTGTTGTAGATCACATTGAGTCAGTCTGAACTGTAAGGTATTTTGTTGTAGTGTCACATTGAGTCAGCTTGAACTGTCAGGTATTTTGTTGTAGATCACATTGAGTCAGTCTGAACTGTAAGGTATTTTGTTGTAGATTCACATTGAGTCAGTCTGAGCTGTAAGGTATTTTGTTGTAGAGTCAAATTGAGTCAGTCTGAGATGTCAGGTATTTTGTTGTAGATTTACATTGAGTCATTATGAATTGTCAGATATTTTGTTGCAGATTCACATTAAGTCAGTCTGATCTGTAAGGTATTTTGTAGTAGTTGTATTGAGTCAGTCTGAG